AAATGTCATTTCATTCAGTAGACCAGTGGCTGTCATCGTGAATGGTATAGGGCAAAGTGTCATCCAGCCACAGTAAAAACAAAATCAGAAAAAACATGGAGGCCTTTGGATACTGGAAATGCGTCGTTTCCCTCATGGTGATCGCAATAGTCCAAACTGGTGAGGGCATATTGCGGTGCAGTCTTACGTGTCCGAACCAGCAGTTTTTTTGCACCGCGGGGTCAGACGAGCAGTTTACTTTAGAAGGTCATTCTGCACACGGTCAGGTGCGTAATTTTCATGTTTGTTTTGGTTTTCTATGATTTATAACAGTGCTTTGGCGTCGAGTACCCGGGTTAATGCTTGCATGGTGTAAGTAAATGTTTCATAGCCTCATAAATCTCTCGTACCATTTTTTACACAATGCATTTTATGTTTCGTGTGCCTTGGATGGAGAATATACGGGCCATCTGAATTACCTTTTTTTATCCAGTGAATTTGCTGTGTAATCACCCTCCTCATGAATTACTGTTAAGGAAGTTAAAGCTTATAATGCTTGGAGAATGTTTTTCTGTTTTTTCCCTGTCATTGACCAAATGCGCAGATTTTGAAAAAAAATATATATATATATATCCACTAGGAAATATATCATTTACCTGTGACTCTTGCCTCCTTGGGTCCCAACAGCAGTGAGTCTGAATATATGATTTGCTATAAATTTGGTAATTTAAACAGATACAGCTCTTTCGTATCTTAGCATCCCTTTCTGTCTCTTTCTTTTCTAGCTCTTCTTTATTAGCATCCTCTCTTTCTCTGTTTCTTCTTGAGCTTTTCTCATCCCTCGCATGACTCATTCCACAGAGAATCAAGCTGGAGCCCTTGCTTATGGGAATTCCCGCCTCCCTCGTTGAACTGGCGGTGACAGGATGCGAGATTGTGGACGTGGTGCCGAAAGCCTTCGATGCCTTACCCTTCATCAAGCACCTAGATTTCAGCAACATCCAAGAACTGACATTCGAAGAAGACAGCCTCGTGTTCACCGGTGACCTGGCCCTAGACATTGATCAGGTCAGCAGTCTCCAGCTGCGTCGCCACGCCATCACTTTCAACGCCAGTCGCCCAGTGGCCGAACAGCACCTGCAGGTAACCAACACCCATCTCTCGGCCTTCCACCCAAAGGCTATCGTCGCGGCCCAAACCACCAAGTACCTCACGACCTTCGGCGAAAATAACACGCTCGAGGAAGTCAATGACCTCTCCAATTTCTGCGATGTAAGCTACATTTTCAGAGATATTTTCTTCAAAGATGATGCACTCATAGCTTGTTCGTCGGCTCGCGCCTTAGGGAGCGTCTTGGTCGTCGCTGTGGCCTTTCTCTGGAGGAAGGTTATGGAAATGAGTGTATGAGCATGAGATATAACTCTTCTAGAGATCATAGATGTGTGGAAAGGCATGTATACATTATATATATATATATATATATATATATATATATATATATATATATATATATATATATATATATATACATATACATATTTACGCATATGTATTATGTATATATATAATTGTATATGTGTGTGTTTTAATATATATAGACATACATACATACATACACACATACACACACACAAATATATATATATATATATATATATATATATATATATATATATATATATATATATATACATACATACATACATAATACATACATAATATATATATACATAAATACATACATATATATATATATATATATATATATATATATATATATATATATATATATATATGTATATATACATATATATATACATATATATATATATATATATATATATATATATATATATATATATGTATATATATATATATATATATATATATATATATATATTTATATATATATATATATATATATATATATATTTATATATATATATATATATTTATATATATATATATATATATATATATATATATATATATATATATATATATATATATATATAAAGGAAAGAGAGAAAAAAAGAGTTGGCAGATTTTCCTAACAATGGGACAATTAACAAGATAAAAGTTCAAAGTTTCGGACAATTAACCACATTTCGCACATACGGAAAGTACTTTAATGACACTATCTGCTAAATCTTGCAAAAATGTTAAACAATACGTTCTAACAAAGAATTTGTAAGTGTGTTGACTTAAGGAAAAATAGTGTTTTATACATAAATAAAATTTTCGATATCAACGATTTTTAATTTTTCCCCTTCTAGATCAAGAGAAAAGATGAAACCATGAATAATCTAAAAGTACATGAAAGGGCCTAAAATAGCTGATGAAATACATAATACAGTGTAAACATAACAGAGGGACAAAAAAACGTAAACACAATAAAACATTAATGATCAAGTAAAAAGATTAACCACCCATTTCATATGTCTCGATATAAATAGTCTGATAATCAGACAAATTTTAGAACAGAATTTCGTTTTAAAATACGAGATAAAACTACTTTTAT